TTGTCCATGGAAGGTCCCTGCAAAATTTCATTGAAATTGGTTGAGGGGTTTTGGAGAAGAAGATTTTTGAAATTTTAGTCAATTTGACCCTTTTTGGCCCCGCCCCTCAGGCCCCAGGGGGCTTGGGACAAAACCGGCCGTAATTTTTGTTGACCTTTGTCCATGGAAGGTCCCTGCAAAATTTCATTGAAATTGGTTCAGGGGTTTTGGAGAAGAAATTGAAAATGTAAATTGTTTACGGACGGACGACGGACAACGTACGACGGACGACGACGGACAAAAGGAGAATTACTTTCTCATTTGAAAAAATCAAGCTCAACTGACTGATAAATACCCAGGACTCACGATAGTAGTATTTGGATATGAAAATTATTTGCATTTCCAAATATAGTCATTTGTACCTGTCCAATAAGTTAACACAATATATTCTTGCATGAATGACCATATATAGCTTGGTATGTTGTATACACACAAAAGCCTTGTCATTGTCAACTTCATTATCCAGTACATTGGTACATTGTTCAGTAGCTGTCCATTCTTAACACTAAAATGTGTCCATAATGAATACAAAGCTTTTAATTTAAGGAGGAGAAAGCCTCAAACTGTCCATTTTGTGAGACAATGGGCAGATCTCAGCCCTTCAGACCTCAAACTGTCCATTCTGTGAGACAATGGGCAGATCTCAGCCCTTCAGACCACAAACTGTCCATTCTGTGAGACAATGGGCAGATATCAGCCCTTCAGACCTCAAACTGTCCATTCTGTGAGACAATGGGTAGATCTCAGCCCTTCAGACCACAAACTGTCCATTCTGTGAGAGAATGGGCAGATCTCAGCCCTTCAGACCACAAACTGTTCATTCTGTGGGAGAATGGGCAGATCTCAGCCCTTCAGACCACAAACTGTCCATTCTGTGAGACAATGGGCAGATCTCAGCCCTTCAGACCACAAACTGTCTTTTCTCTTTACATTGCTCCTTCACAAAAAGAATGAGAACACATATCAAATGAATGTACCTGAATTGTATGTTTAATTTTCTTTCTAAGTTCAGCCATCTGACGTTCAAATGTTCCCTTTGTAAGCACATTCTTATTTGTTTTCTGCTGGGCATCTCCGCGAGTGACGATCGTGTCTCTCCTGTTCAACATAAACTCTGCATGCTATCATATTTTCAATTTTGCTTCATCATTGTTTGTACATATTTCAAACCATGCAAATAGAATTTGAAATTGCCCCTTTTTGCCAATAATCAATTCGTTTTACATCATTAAAACCAAAGATGGTTCTATTCTTTATTAATACCTGACATATGTCACTAGTTGACAAATTGTAAATATTGACCAAGTTTCATCAGAAACCAGTCATATTAAAGTTATCTTGTGGAAACCAAAGTGTGGGGATTCCCATACCATTATACGTCCTGTGAATTTTTGTGGTCATATAAAAAACATTAGATAATTGTTTCTGTGAACAAAACCTATCTCCCCTTATTAGCCAATATTTCCCCCCTTATCTTGCAAAATGAAATTTTGGTAAACAAATAACAATTTATCTACAATTTTCTTAATATCTTTTATAGGTTATTAAAGGTTTGACCTAACATTAAATTACAAAATGCATAATTATCAGAATTAATGCAATTTAAAAAGTTATGATGCAGAAGGTTACAGTACTGGGACAGTTAAAAGTTACAACTGAAAAGTTGGCACTACTTTGACCTTTGACCTTAAAGTCAAGGTCACATTGACCTAATGACAGTGCAATGCATATGTGGGTGATCCAACTATAGTGCAAGTTTCACTAAGATATCTTTATCGGTTTAAAAGTTAGGGCTCCAACAAGAAATGATTAGTAGTAGAAATATCAAACCAGATAAACAAGCAAATTCGTGGAATTTATAACCCCCGCTTGCAGGACATATTGTAGGGAAACATTATTGAGGTTAGGTTTAAACATGTGAGTATGGTGCTGTTAAGACATAATGTATAGCTTCAAACTAGAAGAAAAAAAGGCCTTTAATACAGAAGTTAGACTTTTTATTGAACATGTAGAAACGGCAGATAATGACGTTTTTGTTATTCAAGGGGCCATAACTCCGCCAAATAAAGTCCGCTGAAAGTGGTCATCGAACTTGGTTGAGCCCTTAAGGCATTTAACCCTGTTACCAAGTTTGTAGAAAATCGATTTACATTTGTTGCAGTTATTGCACGGAAACGGTAGATAATGATGTTTTTAAGTTATTCAAGGGGCCTTAATCTGCCAAATAAAGTCCCCTGAAAGTGGTCATCGAACTTGGCCGAGCCCTCAAGGCATTTAACCCTGTGACCAAGTTTGACGAAAATCAGTTAATATTTGTTGTCATTATTACACGGCAACGAAACGCAACAGATAATGACGTTTTTCGTTATTCAAGGGGCCATAACTCCGCCAAATTGGGTCTGCTGAAAGTGGTCATCAAACTTGGCCGAGCCCTTAAGGCATTTAACCCTGTGACCAAGTTTGAAGAAAATTGGTTAACATTTGTTGTAGTTATTGCACGGAAACGAAGCGTGACAGACTGACAGTCAATATTCCCCATTTCGGTGAAAGCGGGGGATAAAAAGAACCAGTACTAAAATAATGTCTTTCATTTGAACGGGAGACATATAAATAGAAGTTGAAAGACAGGAAGAAAGATTGAAAAAGACAGAAAGTAAGAAACACAGAAAAGGAGGTTTTTTCTACCAATATGTAGCACAATGCATTTACGATTACCGAGACACGGCCTTCTCCATCTCCTGGATCATCTTCTCCTGCTGTTTCATCAGTTGTGTATGGCGAACTGTCATTCGATGGATCTCTGCATTCATAGCCTTGATCTCCCCTTGACCTACTTCAGAGTCAACGGCTGCCCGTGTCTCACGGGCGAGCTGCGTCTTCTTCTCCCAAAGCATTATCTGGCGTCTGCAGGGAAAATCACGGCATGTCAACACAGTACATCATCACAGTATGTCATCATAGTACGCTATCATAAAGTGTCAACACAGTACAGCATCACAGCATGTCATGATTGTATGTCATCATAAAGTGTCAACACAGTACATCATCACAGTATGTCATGATTGTATGTCATCAAAGTACATCATCATAAAGTGTCAACACAGTACATCATCACAG